CTACTGAACTGTTATGTCATATCAGTCCTCCTATATGGCAGTGAATGTTGGACAATCTCAACACAAGAGACTTGAGACGACAGAGACGTGATTCTATAGAAGGATGCTGAAAATACCATGCACCGAACTTGTGAGCAATGACGATATTTTAGAGAAAATGGAAACAAAAAAGGACACTTATACTTAACATCAAAAAGAGACAGTTGAAATTTAATAATAAAGAAAGGGGGCTTAGAAAATTTGACACTGACAAGATATATTAAAGGCAAGGGGGCAGAGGAAAGAAGTACATAACCTCCTTGACAGAACAGTGTTTAGGAAAGATAACGAAAAGACAAAGAGCAACAAAGGACAGGAAATTGTGAAGAGCCATGATCGCCCACGTCCTTAAGGGACACGAATATGTAATTAATTATTTTAAGATTGGCAGTTTCTTTTCCTTTATCTGTATAAAACAAATGAATTTGACGTCTACTTTTAATTTTCATCTCAAAGTTAATGTCAACGAATCACTTGGCTAAATCAGACGTGAACTCAAACAGAATACCATCGTATTTGTTTCTACGAATTTCATACACGTGAAGTCCTGAGAATTATAAACTCATGTTGGGTTTCAGGAGAAGGATATGATGTCGATGCCTGCTTGTTATTATCAGCAAAAGGATGAGCCCAAAATGCAAATTACAGGTCGGGTATCAAGCAGGTACAGAAATTTAAATATCTGGGAAGTGTTCTAACAGAGGACGGAAAGTGCGATCCGAAAACATAACGGGATGGCCAAAAAATGCATTCCAAAAGCTAAGCAGAGGATTAAGAGATAGGAAAATGTCGTTGGAAACAAAGAAAAGAGTACTGAACTGTTACGTGATATCTGTCCTCTTGTATCGCAGCGAATGCTGGGCAATCTTCTCGAAAACGAGGAAGAGACTTAAAGCAACAGAAACGTAGTTCTAAAAAAAAAAGATGGTGATGATATCATGCACCGAACATGTGTGAAACAACGAGGTTTTGGGGAAAGGAAAACAGAAAGAAAACTTATACTTAACATCAGGAAGAGGCAATTGAAATTACTGAGGTACGTAATGAGGAAGGAGGGCTTGGAAAATCTGATACTCACGACAGATTGAGGGAAAGAGAGAGAAGAAAGCAGAGCGTTACATACTTGATGGGCTTGAGCAAATGGATTTGGGTTTGGCTTGAGAGAAAAATGACAAAACTTATTAAGAGATACAGGTAGATATGGAGGGCCATGACTCCTAAGCCCTGAAGGGACACAGCAGATACAAGAAGAAGAAGAAGAAGAAGAAGAAGAAGAAGAACAACAACAACAACAACAACAACAACAACAACAACAACAATTTACAGGGTTTCTATTTGGGTTTATATCATCTGTATGGTCACGAAAGACAAGATTCTGAGAAATTAAATATTGTATACAATCTAACAAGCGTCATAGTACATCTTGGCATTTTTTTTTTTTTACTGAATTTGCCTTTGCAGCTTTTCATCAATGTCAGGAGACGAACTTGGCGCTCGGTTGCTTTCTAAGCAGCAAATGACTCACGATGACAGTTGTTATTTTTATGGGCATATAGCATTTAAATTTTCTTACACTTAAAGAATCCACCCTGTATTGTGAAAGCAGACTGACTAGTGAATGTCACAGATACAAACGCCCCGGGTATGACGATAAACTACATCCAGCAGCAAGGCCTACGACCAGGAGATTGAAGGTTTTCAGGAGCATTGAACCGCCTCTTAACTGCTGTTGCTCCCAGGTCCACCCTGACCCGGGGTGGTAGCAACTGTTAGGGCCCCAGCTGTGGGCAAATAATGAACCCCCAAACAAAAATCAACATTATATTTTTTCATAATAAAATGAGCAACAATGTATTTTATAGAAAAAATACAATCAATGCAACACTAACAAGAACATAAATTTTATAGTAAAACTACCAACAATACATTTTATGATCTACAAAATATATATCTCAAAAACGTACCTTTAATCTGTAAGTTTAAAATTATGCATAAAATATTTGTACTTGAAAACATGAAATTACGGAAAAAAATATTTAGATTTCAGCATTAAATAACCCATACAGGTTGATATAGTTATTTTCTAAACGTATCTTAGATGAGGCTCAAGGCCGAAAGTATGGGGCACTTAGTGAGGACCGAACTCATTTTTCAGTCGTAACTGAGCTAGGGAGACATGCTTGTTAACCATTACAACACGCCGAGGTGTCCCCATAGAGGTTTACGTCTAAACAAAATTAACCAACCAACGATACCTATTTATAGTGGAATAACAAACAATAGCTATTTATAGCGAAATTACCAACTATACCAATTTATAGTTAAATTGCCAACACTACATTTTATCTGTAGTTGAAGGGATACAATTGCATTCAAAATATTTAGATTTCGGCATTAAGTAAGGGTCCTGATCCTTTATGTCCTGAAGAGACATGACATTAAAAACAAAACAATAAAAAACAATTGTCAGTTTGTATTTAAAACCAAAACACAACGGAAAAATTCGTTATTATTCGTTGTTGTTGTTCTCGACTTCAACAGTAGCGTTGTTCACTGACTTGTGTCTGTGAAAACGACTAAAATATGTAACATTTTATCGTAATAATCTTAGTGTTATTTGTAAGAAAATTGTTAAAAAAAAGTCTCAAATAAAAATCATTAATATTAGTTTGTTGAAAATGGCCGAGTGGTCCTCTCACAACAAGCGCGATGATTTAGGCTATTAAATTATCAGTGCAGCCCGAACCCTTCAACCGGTGACGGCTGATTGGGGATACTGGACAATGTTTTGTGACTTTCGCTATCTTAACAACATTTGCTTTTTTTCTGTCTACATTTATAGACGTTACAAATTAAAATAAACACAAGTCACTATTTAAAGGATGAATGCATTTTCGTACCTTTTGACATTCTGGTGTCCTTTTTTTGTCCAATCCCTGAATCTGTTTTCCTCATGCTAAATTTGAAAAAAAAAAAAAAAAAAAAAACTATATAAAATTCACTATTTGTTATCCATAATATTGAATACGTTAAAATTATTCAACTTTTTAACAAGAAAAATTCTCAAGTTAATGTTAAAAATTGCCGCAAAACTTTGTTGATTTATTGAAGATGGAATGATCTTTTATGACATGTCGCTAATTTGTATTTAGATACATTGTATTCATTTTCAATTTCAGTTTTTCTAGTTGAATTGTTCACCTATAATGTGCTTATGATCCTGTTATGATGTTGATTTGGGGTTAGTAGAGACAAACGCCAAATAACACGTAACAATAAAAAGGGTTTTAATAGGTTGGTAAAAAAGGTACAGAAATCGCCTGAGTAGTCAATAACTAGCTCAGTTAAGAACTGTCTGTCTTAGTATTTATCGATCCACCCACGAGGATTGAATATGGCACAAGGCCGGTTTAATGTGGGTATCTCCGAGCCCGTAGGCTCGGCCAAAAATATAGCCTTTGAACCCGCCTAGACGGGTTCAGGCCCTGTCTACCTCCCCGGACGAAACCTTGCCCTTCGGCAAATCTTCGTTCGGGTTCCTCTCTGCTAACGCAGAGAGTTCGACAGACGTCGCTTACAGTCAAAGACTGTATCACGACGCAGCTAGACTCATATGTCTTACCCTCTCTGTCTATCTGTCTTCTCAACTGACATGCCACTATTTAAAGTCTTTGTTCGCAGACAAGTTCATCTTCAAGAGGGGTGGTAGGTTTCCGACACAACAGATCCATTATTGTACATAATTAGGTTACAATAAAATGTGTATTTTATATGGATTACTACCTCATGAAAATTGAGATGTAGTAGAGCGAAGACGTGTTATAGATTCAGCGGAGCGGGGTCACAAGACCTTTGCACTGACCCACCATTAGGAAAATATGACCGTTACTTTAATATTTTACAGTATAAACGTAAAATGACATGAAACGAAGTCATACGAAAAAATATATGAAGCAACAAATTTTTGTCTTTGTTGTGGTGTCCTCCCTCTAAAGAGTCTATGTTAGACTCTTCCGCCCACTATAAGATTAGTAGGACAGAAGGCATAGAAGAACAGTGATTGGATTGAGGAACAGTCGCATAGATTGTTCAAACTCTCAGCCTCGGCGGAGAGGAACTCGGACGAAGCTTTGCCGAAAGGCAAGGTTTCGTCCGGGGAGGTAGACAGGGCCTGAACCTGTCTAGGCGGGTTCAAAGTGAATATTTTTGTCCGAGCCTACGGGCTCGGAGTAACCCACGTTAAACTCGACCTTGTGCCACATACATTCCTTGTGGGGGGACTGTTAAATATAACAGTGATTGGATTGAGTGCTAGTTCATTCGCTACACTCTTACTAGTCGTGTAATACAGTTCTGGTGTACTTAACCATTTACTTGGTCACAACAGTCTTTAAATGAAAGTTATATATGAATTCAATTTGATTATACATGATAATCCGCCGAGTATCTGTCTGCTTAAAATTTAATTCGTACCTTTTTCGTTATCAAAAAGGTTTTGGGATTAAAAAGCAATGATTTTTTAATGAATCTGTGTAAATACCGTATATACTCGTGTATCACACGATCTCCCTCTCTTTCTTTATTACCAGTGAATACACTTTTATTATTATTATTATTATTATTTTAATATCATTTTATATTATTATTTTTAACAACTTCTTAATAATTTCTTCCTCAATACTTCAACTGTCATTTCCTTCTTTTTATTTTGCTCTTTCATGGATGCCATTGGCCGGCGGGGTCGGGTGGGGGGGCTTTGTTTAAACTAAGTTAATGGACTTTTAGGCTTCCTCCACATAAATAGGAATTCGATTTTTGAATATTAAGGATTATATGTCACTGGGGAGTGGGGCATGAGGATTTTAGAGATGCTTAGATGGGATATGGCTAAAACAAAAAGTTTGGAAAAAAAAATTGCTCGATTAAGTTTATCGGTGTTTTTTTTTTCATTATAAAACAGCTTACGACCATATAACGTTGAAACACCTGTTCTCGCACGATGGCCGATGTTAAGCGACGTTGAGCCTGATCAGTATTTAGATGGGTGACCGCTTAGGAATATTAAGTGCTGTACGTTTGGATGTGCGTGTGGTGTAATGGATAATAGCTCAGAACTTGAAATCGTAGAGCCAAGTTCCAATTCCAGTCGAGTTCGTTATAGTCACTTACGTGCAAACACCCTTGTATGCATCTACCTCTTCTCCCCCCAGCTATGGGTTAATCAGTACTATTGTAAATCAGTAAATCATTATTATCGCCAAAAACATTCTCACAATTTCAAAATATTTTCTGGTTTTAAATAACCTGCAAAATGGTTGATAAGCTGTAAAAAAAAAACAAAAAAAAATCATTCAATTTTTGAAAAAAATTAAAGATATTTAGTAGGATTAAAACATAAAAAATAATTGAACTAATGCTTAACTGACTATTACGAAAGAACGGGATGTACGGTTAACGTAACGGTAGTTAGTGCCGAAAGTGAAATCGGCGGGCTAAGTTCGAATTCTGTCATAGTCAATGGCATTCACTCCACACTAATGCCCTTGAAAAAGGCATGAGTTCATCTTTTTCCCCATCCCCGCTATTGATTAAATAAATAAACAGGACACTCCAAGTATTGAGTCGCAATAAGTCTATCAGAAGTTTCTTTCCAACATTCTTTGTAGTGGCACAATTCTTAAATTTTGCCTCCTATCTATGGGTTAAATAGTATAGTTTATATATGGAAAATCATTGTTTTCTGAAAAAAATTGTTAATGCAATATTCGCTCGCCGAAAAAAAAAAAAGAATTATTCTAACAGTCCCAAACATGTTTTGGTTTCAGATAACCGACAAAGGGTTGATAAACTGTAAAAAAAAAAAAAATCAGGCAAAATTAAAGTTTTACGTGTCTCAAAAATATTCAACTTTAAAAATATGTGATTAGTATATGAGATCAGGTAAACAGTTTTCTTTAAGTAAGTTCAATGGGGTTATGTATTGGTGTTATACATTTTTATCTAATAATTTATTGGCTATTACGGAAGAATTATCATGTTATAAATGCATGGAGTTCTTCGTATAACGGATGTAGGACTAAATAGCTTGAAACAAAAAACATAAACCTAAAAAAAAAAAGACGGAAAAAATTTACGTGACGAGTATCATATATATATATATATATATATATATATATATATATATATATATATATATATATATATAAAATTGACCTCCTGATTTTTAAAATTCAAAGTTCTACATGTTATTATTATTTTTATATTTACTTATTTTTTTTCTCACATGTATTGATCACTTTTTAATATTACTGTTTCCTAGTCTGATTCAACTTTGACCATTAACTTTATTTATATATATATATATATATATATATATATATATATATATATATATATATATATATATATCGTCCAAACAGGTTTGGTTAAAAACAAACCGACAAGGTCTGTTTATCTGTTTAATTTTTATTATATTTTCCAATTTTCGAATGACGTGTTGATTATTGTACTCAAAATTGAGGATAAGCTATATATATATATATATATATATATATATAAGATATAGTTTTACATATTTATATATATATGATAAAATATAGTTTTAATATATGCTATATTTTGGGGTTAAAGTGCTTGATATCAGGGATAGAGCGTATGTAAATATCGAAGTCGACATTCATGCCAACATCTTGAGGCGACAGTCTGTCTCATGCTCAATAAAAATCCTAAGGCACATGGCCTGACGATTGCGTTTAAAATAAAACAGACTATCGTCTCTGGGCGTTTACTTCAATATATATATATATATATATATATATATATAGATAGATAGATAGATAGATAGATAGATAGATAGATAGATAGATAGATAGATAACCTCATCTCATATTTGAAATATATACTGTAAAACTTTTTAATGTAATTAATATCATTTTTTTATTTAAGGAAAAAATATTAATGATTTATTGAATAAAAATCGTAGTCGATTCTTATTTGCAGGCTTTTTTCGAAAATTCGTTATGCTGGTATATTTCTTAAACTTTTCGAGATCTCAAAATAGGTTCAGCTTTAAAAATGTGTGATTAGAATATGAGGTCAGGTTAACATTTTTTTTTCTCAAGAATAATGCGGAATTATATCCGTTTATATCTTTCTGATATGAGGTATTGTAACTATTTACACAGTATTTACATTGTTCGGACTATTGTTCTCATGTTTATTGTCATATTCACGACGTTTCGGCCGTTGTACGCTCCGGTCCTCTTCCGGTGATTGGAAGAAGGCCGGATCGTACAACGGCCAAAACGTCGTGAATATGACAACAAAGATGAGGACAACAGTCCGAACAATGTAAATAGTGTAAATATGCGGAATTGCGTTGGTACATTTTGGTTTGGGTGTATAAGTATGTTAAGTTTTGAAAATATGCGATTTGGATATGAAATTAAGCAAAAAAATTACAACAGTTTGGTATTCTTTAATTTTTGTTGGTGTCACAAAAGTGTCATGTACTGAAAATATATTATTGAAATATGAGATCAAGTAAAAATAATAAGATGTGATATCGTTCTTTAATTTTTGGAAGCCTAAAAATACTCAGCCTCAGACATATGTGTAATTAATTCAGAGGCAAGTTAAGCAGTTCTTATATAAATATGAGGAAAAAAGTGTTACTTTAATTTTTGCATGTAAAAATGTTAAGATGTGAAAATATGTGATTAGACTATGAGATCAGATAAAAAAAATTCTATTGTTTGGCATTATTATTCTTTAATTTTTGGGCGCCATAAAAATGTCATGTTCTGAAAATATATTTGTAAAAATAATATCGTGTGGTAGGATTTGATTTTTGGAAACCTAAAAAATGTTCAGCTCTAAAAAAATGTCAATGTGAAACTCGGTAAAAAATAAATTAAATTATCGATTATTCTTTAACTAGTTAAAGAATTGTGAAAAAAATCCGGATATAGTTATTTATTTTTTCCTTTGCTTTCTAGCGTTAGTCTTCTTTTGTCTTTCGCTTAAGAATCAACTATTCTTTGGCGCGTTTTGCCAACGGGCCGACGCTATAGGATCTACCTTTTCCAAAGTTTTTCTCAGAAACATCAGAAAAGGTCTTCTTGAGACAGGTAGGCGACAATTCGATTTTCCATTGGTCACTTCTTATGTCAATGGTATTTTGAAGCTTCTACCGCATCGAAATTTCAAAAGCCACGAATCCTTTGTCACAAAAATATTATTTGGTCATTAAACTCACCCACAAGTTTCGTACGGCAGACGGAAAGACGGGGTGGGAGAGTAAGAATCACAATGCAAATACTGTGAAGAGAACGGGTAGATTAAGAGAGAAAAGGGTAGCTAATTTGCCTACGATTATCGCACAACGAAAAGCAGTTGTAACCCAGAAATTCCCTTGCGATCTCGCCTCACCCTACTTATTTTTCTTACGTTTCCCCTGCTATTGTAAGCACCCTGGACTCTGCATTTAAAGCAATTTTTTATTTGATAAAAAAATAAATAAATAAAATAAAATAAAACTCTACAAAAAAAATAGTTTGAGGTAACATTTAATTTATATGAGCACACACAAAGGCAGAATTTAAGAACAAACGATAAATTTATTTTTAACACACAAAAAAAAATTGAAAGATTTACACAAATTAAATGCATTGTGTGCCAAATGATGGCCATGTAAAATAATCAATGCAAATTAAGTATGCCATTTTTCATTTACAATAAAAATTATAATGCTGCATAAGGTCCTCAGAAAAGAAAACAACGTATAAAATGTAGAAAATACTTCTCTGAATATTTTTCAAAGAATTGGTACAATTTTCGTAGCAAAGATCGTGATAAGAGCGAAGAATAGAACAACCACACCAGCCAAAAACTTTTCCTTGATGTGGGAGCAACTTTCATGTTCCTTTCAATTCTCGTTTGGTGGTTGTTAAATTTTTTCTGTGTTGTTTTTCTTTCTGGGCCGGGAGGACCTGGGTTCCAGTAGCAGATGTTCATTGACTCCTTCAATTAAATCTAAGGTCCTCTTTTATAAACTACAGGTAGGCTCCGAATTCACTTCTCGGAATTTGGAGGGAAACCTTTTGATTGGTTTTGGATGAAAATCAAACTCAGCTGTTTTCCCAGATAGCAGTCGAACATGGTTTTCAAGATTAACGTTTTAATTTTAATTACATCAAGCCAATATAACTGTTACTGGTCGTTCGTTTACATTGATGAACAATAAAATAAAGAATGACAAATTTATCCGCATTTATGGCGGTGGTGAAAGTGTGCTGAAAAAAAAAAACAAACTTCAGTAGCATAATTACCAACTCTCATCAATCACGATGCCACTTTGTGGCGTATTTATCCACTATCAAAATCGATTTTTAGTTTTTGAGAACAAAAACGGTTATAAAATTTCCGTTTCTTTACACAGTAAATACAAATCTCTTTTATTATTACTTTTTTTCCTACATTTTTTTTTTTTTTTTTGCTAGCGTATTGACTTCAAACATTTTTTAGTATTCGAAAACAAATTTTAAATAAATAAATTTAAATGCATTATTTAAAAATAAAAGAAATGACGACCGGTATTGATCATCAGAAAAAAAATCTGGTTAAAGATCATGAAAAAGAAACTTGTTTCGTGTTATTTACAGATGTATTTTAAAAACATAGTCAGGTATGAACTGAGAAGAAGAAAAAAAAGTTAACTTTTTTTACCTGACCTCACAATGTTTCTAGTTTATGAAAAATGACAATGTTACCGTGTGAGTCTTTATTTCGTTTTGTTTGATGGTATTTAATTTAATTTAGTCGAACGCCCACTCGAACGGAATGTGGCACAAGGCCGAGTTTAAAGCGCGGGTCCCACGCTTACATGAGACACGAGAACCAAAATAACCCAATAATCTCAGCACTTCTCACTTTTTTGGGGGGGGGGGACGCCACAGGTACAAGGGACCCTATCCACCGGACCGGAGGGAAACAGGACCGCTAGAACTGGACTTTAATTTAACAATTTCAGTGAACATTAATGCCTCAAAGTCAAACAAAAAAACCAAAAGGCC